AGGCCCGGGTAAGCATAAAATCTCAGAATCGACTTTTTGCTCGAACACTGCCTTTAAACCAGCAAATCATGAGCGGTATATAGTTTTCTGATTTTCGATACGTTCAAAATATTGATCTTTTTTTGGTTGGCAGCACTTTCTGACCATTTAATCTTACTGTTACCTCATGGTACCTGATTATGGGATTACACTAGCAGTGTTATATCCCAATTGTCTTTCTAAATTGTCATTTGCCGTTTACCAACCACATAAATTACAGAAAAAGCGTAGTTTTGCTGTTTAGGAATTCTTGATCTCTGATCGCGGTCGGAAGAAGCAGCCCATTGCTGGTGTGCTTGTTGACTGGGGCAACTTTCAAAAGTTAGTTTTTCCTGCCTTTTTCGAATTATTTTTCATAGTGGTTCCTTTGAGGAACTGCGTATTCAAATTCTTACGAAAAGGAACCGTCATCTATGAGGGTAGTATAGAATCGATGAAGCATGAAGCAGAAATGGTCGCAAATGCTACAACGAACACAGAGGTGATTATTTTTACTTTCTTGGTGCTTTACGTTTTCTGTTTATGTAAGTAATGGCAGTGTGTTCTTTGCAGGTTGGAATCGCAATCGAAGACAAAAGCATACGATTCAAGGAAGACGACACGGTGGAAGTGTACAATAAAAAGCAAGTGCCTCAAACAATCGACTGGTATCCACCTGGATTCTAGCTCGGGATTACAGCGCGATGAAGATTTGTAGGATTTTCTAGTTCATAGAAATAGTCATCAATGTGCATTGATAGGTTTTACCGTTGTTATATAGGATCTTGTTATATTGCTGTTATTGATTATTATTTTGTATTGTACATATTGCTCAAATAAATTATTTCTGATGAATTGCTCTCCTGTTCAAATCAAAAGGCATTGCAACTGCGTTATACTTATCAGAATTATCAATGTTTTTTTGGATGGATGGATGTTAGCTAGCGGATATCACGAGGTCCATTCACAGCTGAGGCTGAGTGCAAAAATTGATTGAGTTCAACTAGGGGTGACTAGCTCCGACCGTTCCATCTCTCCCTACAGTTCCCTTCACAGTTCGTAATTATTTGTGGCCATTGTTATAGTGTGCAATCCAAACGTAGTGAATGGCCAAGTAGCCTGATGTCATGGACGTTGAGAATGTGAAAATCATCGATGGGCTGATTTTTGGATATCTTAGCCGGCAACAGGTGAGCATACAATTTGTTAAATTTTCTAGCTGCGTTACAAGACATCTGTTCAAGGTTCTATGCGAACTTCTTCACGTTTTCGCGTATAAATACAGTATTTCTGACATTGAAGTTTATATCTATCTTTTTATTCACAGCTCCATAGATATTGGGTTATATTGTGTTTTGTAGGGATTAGGATATTTTTGTAATTTATGCCAGAAAGAGGCAAAAATCAGCTTTTCGCAGCTTTAGAGTCACCTTTGAGCACTTTTTTTTAAATCAGGAC